ACCCAAATTTCTCTGTTTTGTCCTTTTTCCCTAGTGCACTTTACATCCACCATTCAACATGTGGAGTATGTGTGTGTTGGGAGGGGGCAGCTACTGGGAGCCACAGAATGAGACATGAAATATTCAAGTCTCTACCCTTGAGGAGTTTAAATTCACCAGGGGAGGCTAATAACTCACTAATTGTGTTAAGGGCAGTGAAGACCACACACATAATTTAGATAAAAAGTAACAAGGGTGATAAAGAAAGTCTCTGTAAGGAGGTGATCTCTAGGACAGGCAAGTGCCCCAGCCATCAAGAGCATTGGCTGCTCTTGCAGAGGACTTGGTTTGGTTGTCAGCACCCACATGAAGGCTCATATCTGCCTGCAACTCCAGTTTCAGGTGATCTGGCACCCTCTTCTGGCCTCCATGAGCACTGCCACAGAACACTTACATGCATGTAAAACACCCATACGCAGAAAATAAAACTACATGGAAGGGGAAATCTCATAGGTCACCACCTCTAGAAAATGCACTATAGGCAACTAAAGAAAGCTGAGTGCAGGAGAATCGCCAACAGGGATGAACCCCTTAATCATCATCTATTACAAAGTGGTCATCCCTAAAATCATAGACATACAAGCAACACCAAATGAACTCAGCTGGGTATTTATACATCTCTGTGAATATATGCATAATAATGACAAAGAAAAAGAATTTGAGAGGGAGATGGGGAAATATGAGAGGGACTGGAAAGAGAAAAGGGAATGGAGGAGCAATGCAATTAAAATGTAATTTTAAAAATAAATAAGTAAATCGAAAAGGAAAAAATGTGGCATCTAAGCTAATATCAGGAGTTGGAGGACATTGGAAGATGACACCAAGTCACAGATGAAATGGGTAGATCCAGCCAACACCGTGGTTCGTTGATTGGTTGGTTGGTTGGTTGGTTGGATGGTTGCTTGGGTGGTTCATTGATTGGTTGGTTGATAATAAATACCTTTGAATTCCCAGTTCTGTGTAGGCTATGACATTCTTGGCTTTATGAGTCTACCATCTAATCAGATAGACTCCACATCAAAGGGCAGACAATGAAGCTCTGCAGGCAGTACTGTGTAGAACCTATCTGAGGACTGAGGTGATTAAGGCAAATTTCACAGAGGAGTTGAAACTGAACTTCATTAGTCTGTGGTTAAAGATCTCCCAGTTTTAAAGTTAACTGAAATTACACACACACACACACACACACACACACACACACACACACACACACACGCGTGCTCCATAAAAAAAAATGCTTATTTGCTTAAATTGTTATTTTTTTGTCAATAGGACAGATCTGCCACCAAGCTATCCCAGAAAACAGCTGATGGCACATCATAAATTCTTTTGTTTTAAGGTAAACTGTTCATAGATTAGTTCTCAATACAGACTCAGAGGCATTTGAAGTCTCTACACAGAGAAGAACAAAAAATTATGTGACATTTCTGGAAACACAACTGAAAGGTATTTACCCTGATTAATTAAGCTGACTAGAATACATCTTTCTTTTAAATTTTGTCATACATTATAATCTGATCAGTTTCCCCTATCTCATCTCCTCTCATATCCTCTCCACTACCCCACCCATCCAACCTCCCAACTCTCTCCAGAAAACAGGCAAAAAATAATAATAATAAAAAATGAAGGAAGCAGACAAAAAGAATCAAAGTACAAAGAAAATATATATAGAGAGAGAGAGAGAGAGAGAGAGAGAGAATCCATAAAAACACAAAATTGGAAGCCATAATAGATAATCAAACAAAAAAAAAACAAGTAAGGTAAAAATAAAAATGCCCAAACAAAACATTATGAGAGAAAACATCTCCAAAAAATACCATTGAGTTCATTTTGTGTTGGCCATCTAAAACTATGTATAGGCCCCCTTTAAGTGTGGATTGCACACCCATTGAAACTCTGTAGAAGAAAATTATTTTCCCTTTACAAGTAGTTGTCAATTGGAGATAGATTCTGGGTTAGGGGGATGGGGATTCATGTTCCGTTCTCTTCTCAGTGCTGGCACTCCATCTGGCTTGGACCTGTGCAGGCCCTGTGCATGCTGCCTCAGTCTCTGTAAATTCATATTGTAGGCCAATTCTGCTGTGTTTAGAAAACCTTGTTTCTTTGGTGTCCTCCATCCCCTCTGTCTCTTAAAATCTTTGTACCGCCTCTTCCTCATAATTCCTTGAGCCTTGTCAGAAGAGGTTTGATGAAGACATCTCATTTAGGAGCGAGTGTTGTTCCAGGTCTCTCACTCTCTGCTTATTGTCCAGTTTGGGGTCTATGTATTAGTCTCCATCTACTACAGGAGAAAGCTTCTCTGATGCTGGATGAGTGAGACACTGATCTGTGGATATAGCAGAATGTCATTGGGAGTCATTTTATTGTTGTTTTCCTTTAACAGAATAATAGTATTTGGTTTTCCTCTAGGTTCATGGGATATCTTGTATCAGGTGCTTAAGAATATGAACAGTGTTAGGCATGAGTTCTATCTCATGGAGTGGGCCTTAAATACAACCAGATAGATTGTGGTTGGCTACTCCCATAACATCCATGCCACTATCATGCAGGCAGGTCACCATTGTTGATCAAAAGTTTCATGGCTGGTTAAGAATACAACTTTTTACATTTCCTTTTTCATTTCCAAATTCAATGTCTCAAAAGCCATCAACTTACCTAACAATAATAAAGCTTACCTTACAAGAATTAGTAAGCACAAAAACTATATTCTAAATTCACAACTGTACTGAAGACATGGCTGTGAAAAGAAAGAAATGCATCCTGACTGAAGTGACACAGTCGCTGATCAGTTCGATCTGGTCAGTGAAGCCATCTGTGGTGGCCAACTAGCTCTGGGTATCTTGATTCAGTAAGTGACTCTTTAGTGTCATATACAACTCATTACATATATGCATACTCTTAATTCAGAATTACATATCATACTTTGGATCACTAATAAGGTTCAGGTGGGCAATGCATAATGTACTCAGCACTACAGAATGTTGTTTTTCCTGTTTTAACCGTATACATTACACCTTGACTCTACTGATGAATTCATAGTAACAGTGTAGGGAGCCTGTCACCCCACTGTTACCCCACTATCAATTACACCAGCTCTCCTGTCTGAATATTGAAGCCCCTGTGCTTTTACTCTTAGCCTTTTAAGATATTCCCTTAAGAAGGATCCATTCAAAATACATGTTTGTTCAGCATTCTGACTCAAGCTGACCATATGAAATCCTCAGAAGTCATTTAAGCAGCAGCTCTGGGCAGCTTCTGGCCCTACTCCCTGGCATTCTCCTCACTGTCTATTCTCCATACTCATCCTCTAGAAGAATCTAGACCATACCAGGTATATGCCATTCTAATCTCCCTTCACAGTATGGCTCAGAGCTCTGTTGAAATGCCATCCTAGAAGAAAGGAACAAAGGTACAATATACTATTGTATCTAAAATAATCACCCCACATCCACAGCCCTCAGTTCTCCTATCTTCACCATTGTTATTCTTTCCTCAGAGAATTTCCATGTTATACTCTTTGTTATTGAGCCCAATGACTGTCCCCTCACATACCAATGTAAATGGTGAGTTGGGGCCTTAATGGGTCTCATATTCACTACTGCATCACCAAAGCAGTTGCTGGATAGGACAACCCCTCAATGAATGCTTGCTGGATACAGGAAGTCAGTATGAAACAATGATAAAGTGCATTTTGTTCCACAACTCCGAATGACTGTTAGGAGCAGAGAAGCCCACGGTACTGTGCTAGCTCAGGTGTGCCAACTGCAAGTTAACAGTGCAAAGATGAAAGGGAGAGAAAGCAAAGACAGTGAGTGTTGACGATTGGAACAGCTTTGTAAACATGATTCCTTGGGACCAGCATACAGGCAGGTGTGATACTTCCTTGCCAGCTAAATAAGCCTTCAATCATCCCCTTGTTTGCCGAAGATAACCCAGGTCTACACTGATCCAGTTATTCGTCCAAACGAGACTGCAATGCTGTGGGACAATTTGGATCCACAACTCCACAAAGTTATCCAGGGACCCAGGTCACTTCCCTTCTTTGGGGGAGAGGGTGGGTGTGTGTGTGGGTGGGTGTGTTTGTGTGTGTATGAGAGAGACAGAGACAGAGACAGAGACAGAGACAGAGACAGAGAGAGACAGAGAGAATGAATGCAGGCACATGCACATACCACGCTAGCATGTGGAAGGAAGGGAACAACCTCTAGTGTCACCTTGTTTGAGACAGTGGTCTCTATTATTAGCTGACTTATCAAGCTTCAGGGTTTCTCTGGTCTTTGTCTCCCAACTACTGGCACTACAGGTGTGCACTACCACATCCGGCTTTAAGTGACCCCTGGGGATTAAACTTGGGTCCTCACACTCTGTGTCAAGCACTTTACCTACTGAGCCTTCTCCCCAGCCCACTTCTCTCCTTTCTATTCTTCTCATTTTACCTTTCATGGAATGTTCTTCATATCTGAATCCGTGATTCTGCTTCACCAGCCACCTCTTCAGGAAAGGGGAGCTAGAGGAGGTTGAGAACAAGCAACCTCCTTTCAGGAAGTGATGGAGAAGCTGCATGTAGCATTATTATATAGTCTGACTTAGTCATGTATGCACAGGAAGATGCAAAATAAAGTTTTCAAAAATGAGACAAGTTTGTTTCAAATCATTATGTGGTGGTAGTTTTAGTTTAAAAAATTAAAGAGCAGTAGATACATATGTAGTATAAGCTAGTAAATAATTTAGTGTAAAGTAATTTATTTCATTTTTCCCTTGAGCACCCCATCTGCCAACACCTTTTTGGAAATTCAAAGTATTTGCAAAATATAAGAAAATAAGATTCCTTACGGTTGCTTGTGTGGTTTGAACATAATTGTATTGCATTTTCATCAGTGAAATGGATTCCATTTGAAGAAAGTTATGCTAATTCCTTTTCTCTCTCTCCCTCTCTCTCCCCTCTCCACTGAAACCCACAGACGTCTTGCTGGAAATGCTTTGACACATATTCCCAAGGGAGCATTCACAGGCCTTCACAGTCTTAAAGTTCTGTAAGTAAAGCAAGTGCTGTTGGTGAGTGTTTTGATTTTCAAGCCAAATGACAGCTAATTAATGTGCAAATATCGGGTGCAATTTGGATCTTTGAGGTGACTCATATAAGTTCCTCTCTGCCTTCACTGGTGTCATAAAACCTTGTTGTGTTTGGCCATAACCTGTATGTGACAACTCCTCTCTCTCTCTTTCTCTAGCATTATATCTGAAGTTTCTTGCCTCTAAATAACCCCCTTACCTATTCACACATGCAAGAATGTTTCTCTTCTTCCATGTCATACAGTTAGAGAGCAAGTGTCTAAAGATTTTGGTCACTGGGTGAATAATTCACTGTGATGCTAGTGTAATGAGATCACAGCTTCAAACTTGCTTTGATATACCAGAAGGACCCACTCAAGTATACTAAGTTTGTGTGTTTGAGCAGATGTAGAAAACCTGGTATACAGCCTACTGAAATAGACAGCTGTTCATTATGAAATGTTGGGTTAGGGATGTAGCTCAGTGGTACATTTGCCAACTATACCCAAAGCCCTAGGTTCTAAACAGGGGAGAGTTCTACACAGGGGAGAAAGTATGGGAGATGATTTAAATGTATGTTTATACATTAGTGTTCTTTCATTCATTGCCCAACTTCCAAATTCATTGTCATAAAATGCAGTACTATTGAACACTTTCTTAGTTTGGGTTACTATTTCTGTACTGAAACACCATGACCAAAAGCAACTTGGGAAGAAAAGGGTTTATTTGGCTTATGTATCCTGAATCCCAGTCCACTGAGAGAAGCCAAGGTAGGAACTCAATCTGGGAAGGAACCTAGAGGCAGAAGCCATGGAGGGGAGCTGCTTTACTGTCTTGTTCCTCATGACTTGCTCAGCCTGCTTTCTTATAGAACCCAGGACCACCATCCCAGGGGTGGCACCACCTACAATAAGCGAGGTTCTCCCACATCCATCACTAATTAAGAAAATAGCCATTAGGTTTGTCTACAGCCTGATCTTGTGGAGAGATTTTCTTTTTTTTTTTTTTTCTATTTTTTTGGTTTTTCAAGACAAGGTTTCTCTGTGTAGCTTTGGAGCCTATCCTGGCGCTCGCTCTGGAGACCAGGCTGGCCTTGAACTCACAGAGATCCACCTGCCTCTGCCTCCTGAGTGCTGGGATTAAAGGCGTGAGCCACCAATGCCCGGCATGGAGGGGTTTTCTTAACTGAACTTCCCTCCTCCCACTTGACATAAAACTAGCCAGCATAGTGGGGAACATGGGAGGATGGATATGTAAATATGAATAGTAATTAAAGAATTAAAAAAAAAACCAACTAGCCAGCACAAATACCTTCTTCTTCTAATACCCACCACCAAATTTTGTTTCAGCGTGTTCTGGTTTGGAGCATCTAAGTAGAGAAAATAGTAAAAGTTGCAAGTCATTCTAAATTTTATCCACGAGACAATGTCTTTATTTTGTTTTTTACCATTGAGATAAAAGTTAACTCCAAAAAAGCATTTATTTATGCTTAATGAAAATTTCATTTCAGTGGCCTAAGATATATGTAGCCTTTAAAAAAGTTTAATTAAATTTAATATTTTATTAAAAATTAAATTCCAGGGGAATGAGGGAGGCTACAGATGAGATGTAAAATAAATAGATGAATAAAAATTATGTTTATAGAAGAATCATTGTTTTTTAGATGACTGTGTTTGCTTGCCTTCTATTGAATCATTTGTGGTATTAACAAAAATAATTTGGGTCATATTGGCAGTCCTAATGCTTACTTATTACATGTATTAACACTGGATACAATGAACCTATATTTCAATGAACTCAGCAAGTTATTTGAACCATTCAAAATGCATCATGAAATTCAAGTTTAAGTAAGATGACTAAAATGATTTCCCATGTCAAGTTATGTACAGTAAAATATTTGTTAAGTAAATTATATTGTAGGGGCTAGAGGGAGAGTTCAGTGGTTAAGAGCACTGGCTGCTCTTAAAGAGGACCCAGAATCTCAGCACCCACATGGCAGCTATAACCCCAGCTGACTGGCAGGACAATGTACTCAGAGGCATGTGGGTGACAAAGGCCAGGGGTGAAGAGGTAGCTTCAAATGTGTTAACACTCCAGTATTTGAAGGAGAGTTTTGGAGGAAAGTCTAAAGATTCCTATTATAAGCAGCCTGGTCTACAAGAGCTAATTCCAGGACAGCCTCCAAAGCCACAGAGAAACTCTGTCTTGAAAAACAAACAAAAAAATTATTCCTGTTCTTACTTAGCTTCGCTGATCACAAACTCGATGAAAAAGAAAAAGAAAGCATAAGCTAAGATGAATACTTAGAGAAGCCTGAAGATGCTGTATGACACAGTGACTATTTTAAATCTACTCAGGAAAGAAATTTTAAAAAATATACATAAATCACACCTGGTCTCTAACAAAAGCAGTTCATATTCTCTCTGTACCCTTACACAAATGATAAAATTGAGTTATGTGTCTACATCCCCTATTCAGGTCATGTTCAACTCTGTTCATATTCCATGTATTCATTAAGGAGGGTTTGCAAAAGAAATCAAAAACAAATGCAAATTTTTTCTTTTAGTTGCACTCAGTAGTGCTCTAAAACTCTTTAATTGTTTTGCCTCCCACTGAAGTATCTCAAACAAAAACTAAACGAGGGATCTAGGCTTAACTGATAATTGTTTTTTTAAAGATTTATTGATTTCTTATTTGCACTCCCTTGGGAGTTTATCCTCCCCAAAACTTGTAATTGATGTTCTGATGTTCTTAAGGCACCTGGAGCAGTGTCTGATGCTGCTGTGTTAGGGTCATTTATTGTTAATTTTCTTTAATGCCTCTCTTCATTTGTTTTAATGGGCAGGATGCTGCAGAATAACCAGCTGAGACAGGTTCCTTCAGAAGCTCTACAGAACTTGCAAAGTCTCCAATCCCTGTAAGTACAGTTGGGACTACAAAACACCAGTCTCATTTTGAGAAGGATCACTGAAATGTTTGGTCCATGAGTTGATGAGCCATATGGACTTGAGGTCCTAGCCCTAGAGTTTGAGGGTTCCAAGCAGTTATTTAATTATGCCTGCATTCAAAAGCCTCCTATATGTGTCTCAGGACCAAGCATCTACTTCCACAATCTTATCCTACCTCCCCATTATATTTTTGTTTCTATATTTAAATCAGAAATGATACTTAGTTTTTAACTTAGAAAATTAGATGGGACCATCTGATATTTTGGCATCTTTAATTTGTTTTATCTTTAAACCGCCAGAGTTTCTTTGTAATCCAATTTTGCTGAGTCAAATAAAGGTGTGTGTTTTGAACTCTGCACATCTGTCAAGGAAATTCAGATTACAAAATCAAGACCTACACCCAACTACTGAAGCACAGCTACTCCTCAAACCACAGGCTGCCCGTCACTGCATACACATAGATATCACAAACAGTCCCACAGTATCCATATACATGGACTCACAGACCTTGTACAGACACACACCATCACACACACACACACACACACACACACACACACACACACACTGCAGTGGTGCTGATGTTGTTTGCTCGGAACACACAACTTCCCATCAGTGGATTTCCTCCCAGCACCCACATAAACAAAGTAATTCCTCACTTAAAGAACACGCATACTAGCTAGATGTTTGGAAACTTGTTTGGAAGCCATTGTTCTCAATCACTACTTGGCAAGTCTCTGCCTCAACTGCTGTGTTAGCGAATTACCTTCTCATTGGAACGTATGAGTGATTGCAATATCTTGCATGACCTCTGATATGCATATGAGTCATATACACTCTAATTATACTTCTACTGGAGGTCCTCATCTGTCAAACAAAGCACTGCTCTCTAGTCTTGACTGATGAGGGAGATAAATGCATGAACAAAGCCAGAGAATACTGAAGGTTCTAGCCGAAAACCATCGTAAGGAATCCATCAGTTAATAATTACATACAGTTTGCTTAATGCTTTTTACTGCGGTGTCATGAGAGAAGGGGATGGGAGATCTGAAGATGAGACCTCCATCCTTTGATCTTGCTTTTTAATGAAAGAAAATCTGTGCCCGAGATCATTTCAAGCTTTTTATTCTAGTCAAACAAAGTGACTTCCTAGGTTTTCAGCAGCCTATAGATAAACAAGCCCACAAGGGCCTCTTTGTGGCTGGGGAGGGGCTGCTGCATTTCCAGCCACTCCTTAATGACAGGACACTATTGCTCTGCTTTTGTTGAGCTAGCTGTACCTGAAGGAAACAAGCAAAGGAAAGCAAGCCAACTGCCTCTAGTTGGGCTGTCAGGGCATGGGGATCCCATGGCTAAATTGAAATTGAGATAATGGTGGTGCCCAATACGAACTTTAAACAGCTGCGAGGCAGGCTGTAGATAGAAGGATAAGCATTTGTAACCAAAATCCCCTATTGGCTGAGAGATCACAAACAGAAGTGAACTCTTTGAGAAAGAGAAAACCATGAACCTTTTGTTCACTTGAACTGGGTGGTGACTCTGATAAAGGTGTTCAGATTTTGTTTCTGACCGGCTAGATATTTACTGTTCACCAGGTGTCTCCTGGTTTTTGGCTCACAAAGGGATTACTTTCTGAAGCCTTATGAATATAGAAATACGTGTTCCTTGTGAAAAGGTCAAGGGTTAATTTTGCCAGCATGACATCACAGCCGAAAGGAAATGTCTAGACAGGTTCTCAGGCCCTGGCTCACACTGCATTGTGTCAGCTAGATTATGTTATGATGGTCACAAGGTCTCTTTGCCCAGAACACAGTGTGAAGTATGAGGCAAGGGCAGTGTGGGCTGGTGTGCTTCTTTTTCTCACTGATGTTGTTTGTGCTGCTTTGGTGCAACAAATAGAGTTTCTTCACAAGAGAATTCATAAACACATTCAATGCGAACTCTGCAGATCGATCATGTTGCACCAACTGAAGGTGCCCCTGCCCTGGTTTGGAGGTCTGGGGAACAACAAACCCCATTCTAATTGTATTGTTATCTTGTCTTAAAGTGCCAAATTGTCTTTCTCCAGCTTCTATTGAACAGCTCCAACATGAAAATATTAGAGTGGGACTAACAATCATCACATTCCTTATCTGTTTCCATTCTGATTCCAGACCGTCCACCTGGAATGTAAGGGTGTTAGCTTTGTACCGCTTCAGTATCAATGATAACAAAAGCGGGGAGGGAGGCTCCATCTCTTGTACTGTGCCAATACCAGGAAGTCTCTCTACCAAGTCACAGCCTTTTCTTGAACTTGAGTCAGATCATCACTTAGTCCCATTAATATATGGTGGCCCCTTCATTCTACTCTGGTAAATTCAGCCCCGTTTTTTCCCAAATATTACATGCAAAGAGAGACAGATACAATTAGAAAGACAGAGAGACGAGAGAGAGAGAGAGAGAGAGAGAGAGAGAGAGAGAGAGAGACTATGGGGAGGGAGGGAGGGAGAAAAGAAGGGACGGAGATACTACAGAGAGAGAGAAAGGGAAGGAGGGAGGAAAAGAGAGGAAGAGAGATTTTCTTTGTGGTTTAGATTTACCTCCTAAGAGGTATTCCAATGGGCAATGGTACATGTCTCCCCACCCATGAGGGTCTTCAGTGTTGGTGATAATAATCATCCAGAGAGTTCCAAAACATTGGCTGCACCCCAGAATAATGCAAATCAGAATCTCTGAGTGTGTTACATTTTTATTGCCTGACAGGAAGCAACTTAGGGGGAAGCATCTAGGCTGGAGAGGAGAGAAGAAAGGAGAGGGGAGAGAATGAGGGAAACAGAGAGGGAGACACCTGGGGCCAGCCAGCCAGGCAGCTGCCAACCGACCAGACACAGAGTACATACAGAATGAATGAAAGATAAAAAAACCCCAAGGTAAAATGTAGATGAAGAGTAACCAGTTAATTTAAGTTATAAGAGCTAGTGGGGCAAGCATAAGATAAGGCAGAGAATTCATAACTAGTAATAAGTCACTGTGTCATGATTTGGGAGCTAGTTGATGGCCCAAAGAGAAAGTTTGCTACAGGGATCCATACATTAGTGTTTTCTAATAGCTTTCTTGTATAGGTAAATATATCTTAAAATAAAAATTGGGAAATTACATGTTTTGCAGGTGGTATATTCCCTTGGGAGATACAAAAACCATTCTGAATTCTTTCCAAAACTGAAAAACAAAAACCCAAATCCATACTTTGTAGTCCAATTTGAGCTAATAATATAGGTAAAATATAAAAGTGAGGCTTTGCCTTGTGTTTCCTTGAAAAGAGTTCATTTCTGTCTGTTAATTCTACTGACTACATTGAAAACAGAGATAAATAGTGACATGCTACTGCACTGCTCAGATATTCAAATGTGAAGTCTGGACCAGCCACAGCAGTAGCTCTTGAGCTATGCAGAACCTCAGGGCCCAGCTCAATCTGACTTAAGAAGAATCTATTTCACCAGACTCTAGATGATCTGTACACAAAACATGCATGAGGAACTCAAATGTTCAGTCTTCTATTACTCTCCTGAGTGGTCAACACACCCAAAAGGTTGAGAAGCAGCAAAACCAACCATTTGTCATCTCTGCCCCACCCATCTTCACTTGGCTTCTTGGAGGGAGTTTAAGAAACTTGATCTATTGTAACTGGTAACATTGCTATGAGGACGAGACAAATTGCTCTCGAGTTTCAAGGCTTCTAATTCTCCACTTGTTCCCCATAAACAAAAACTGTTTTGTTCCTAATGAAATGGCATAGGTACGTTTGTGTTCTTTTAACTGTCTCCTGATGCTTGCACACTGTCCAGCTGAAGCAAAAGGGCCAGGGGCCAGCAGCACAGAACATACTCCTGTGTAATATGTGCCCTTGAATTCTGACATGCCAATGGCTACCCAGACACCAACTGGATCTTTGTAATGTAATCAAACATAACTTAATTTCCTTTCTGTATTTTTGGAAGGGACTAGAAATGTAATCAGAATTCACAGTGAGTTGTATTTCACTCGGAAACTTTTGGCATTGTAGGCATATGAGGACTGGGGTCAGATTACAGTCATCTGATGGTAACTCAAAACCCAGCTCCCCCATGCCTCTCACCTTCACTAGTTAAGAAATCAATCTATGCATAATGACTGCCTCATTTGTTATGTCCAGTAATGGATTTCAAATATCTCAGAGTTATACATGAAGTTTAAGCTGACCTGGGAAAATCATACATTCATATTTGTCCAAGTAGTCAAAGGATCACTGGAAATGTTGATCTCTCATTCCAAATCACTAGCAAAGCTAATTGTGTAAAATACATATCACAGAAATGATGGGTTGCCAAGTACAAAATTCAAGAAGAATCAAGTGTATCTTTATTATTGCCTCTATTTTCCAATTAGCTAATATTCATTGGCAGGGTACAGGAGTATATTTAAAACCCAAGCTGAATATACAATTCCTGCCTGAAGATTGACTTGCCTACACATATCATTCCTGGGGCAACAAATTCTACCCCAGGACCATGTGAAATAGCTGTCATTAACTTCATCCAGACTCTTCATAATTTGTTTCTGTTTATAGTTTTTAAAAAAAAATACAGTTACCAAAAGAGCCAGAGAGGAGAAAGGGGTGGGGCACAGTTCTGAACAGAGGTAGGGCAAGCCTAGGACAGCAGCATTTTCTCCTATTCACATTCATGAGCCTCTTGGGTTTCAGACCCTGGATATAGAATGGGAAGGAAGTAACAAAAGACACGGAAGTCTAAGCAGACAAAAGAAAAGAAGATAAAGCTAAGGGTGATATTATAGAATCAAAGGGGCTAAAAATAAAGTGACTTCCACTAAAACAGATAAAGAAATCACAAGCTTATAGAGTGTGTGTGTGTGTGTGTGTGTGTGTGTGTGTGTGTGTGTGTGTGTGTGTGTGTATTGTTTCTTCCCACTCAAAGATACACTGGGATGAAGG